CTAATGATTTCTGAGCCAAAATCGGAGATTTTAGTATGGGGGTTTAACAGGGCAAGCTAGACGGCAGGGCGTAAAATTAGACTTGGTTTAAGTATGTTAAAAGAGAGCGAATAGCGTGAATTAGACTTGGTTTAACTATGTTAAAGAGAGCGGAATAGCATGAATTAGACTTGGTTTAACTATGTTAAAGAGAGCGGAATAGCATAAAATAGACTTGGTTTAAGTATGTTAAAAGAGAGCGAAATAGCGTAAATTAGACTTGGTTTAACTATGTTAAAGAGAGCGGAATAGCATGAAATAGACTTGGTTTAACTATGTTAAAGAGAGCGGAATAGCATGAAATAGACTTGGTTTAAGTATGTTAAAAGAGAGCGAAATAGCGTGAATTAGACTTGGTTTAAGTATGTTAAAGAGAGCGGAATAGCATGAAATAGACTTGGTTTAACTATGTTAAAAGATAGCGAAATAGCGTGAATTAGACTTGGTTTAAGTATGTTAAAGAGAGCGGAATAGCATGAAATAGACTTGGTTTAACTATGTTAAAAGATAGCGAAATAGCGTGAATTAGACTTGGTTTAAGTATGTTAAAGAGAGCGGAATAGCATGAAATAGACTTGGTTTAAGTATGTTAAAAGAGAGCGAAATAGCGTGAATTAGACTTGGTTTAAGTATGTTAAAGAGAGCGGAAAAGCATGAAATAGACTTGGTTTAAGTATGTTAAAAGAGAGCGAAATAGCGTGAATTAGACTTGGTTTAAGTATGTTAAAGAGAGCAGAATAGCGCGAATTAGACTTGGTTTAAGTATGTTAGAGAGAGCAGAGTAGCGTGAATTAGACTTGGTTTAAGTATGTTAAAGAGAGCAGAATAGCGCGAATTAGACTTGGTTTAAGTATGTTAGAGAGAGCAGAGTAGCGTGAATTAGACTTAGTTTAAGTATGTTAAAGAGAGCGGAATAGCGTGAATTAGACTAGGATAAAGTATGCAAAATGAAGCTGAGGACTTTGTGAAAAAATGCGAAGTTGTTTGCTGTTCTAATTGTATGGGTTTGGAGATGTTTTTGGCTTGGATTAATAACAGGCAGGAAGCGCGAGGAAACGCAGCGAATATGGACGCGTACGCGGAAGGTGACGGCGGAGGAAGCGCGGATATGGAGGTGAAAATGGTGAAGGTGATGGCGCGAGGAAGGTGACGGCGCATGGGTGTGAATATGGAGGTGATGAAAGGTGACGGGAGGAAACGCATGATGTATATGACAAGTTGGTGTCGTACTTAAGCGGAGCGCGCGCTGTGCATGTATGAAGGTGTCGAAGGTGTTCATATTGCCTAAGACGCGTACGTGCACATGTCATGTCGCATAGGAAGCGTAGGTATGGTTGTGCAAGTCGTAAATGGCCACTTTGGTGGTTTAACATTGTTTCCAGGCCGCGTATGCGCAAATATGGGGTGCGGCGGCTATCTGCACTGCTGTGTATGAAGGTGTCGGTCTGTGTGGGGTTCCTATCGGAGAGAATACGTATGCTGCGTTGTAGGAGTGAGCTGCTGGCCACACGTTTGTATTGGAGTGCGCCACACCACCCCCCTTTTTGTTTTGTTACTATATAAAGTGTAGCCATCCACCCAGCCAATTCTGAGGGCCAGAAGGGGTATTGGGGGCCATCGTGTGCAGTCTATGGCCACGTATGTGGACATGTGAGTGTGTAAATGTGTTGTACCAATGTATACGAGTGATAAACACTAATAGGTGTGTCGGTCAAAGTCAAATGTAGACGGCCATCTTAGGCTGAAAGCACCATATCCCGTCTGCTCTGTGAAGTTAAGCAGCCTCAAGCTCGGGTAGTACTCGGGTGGGTGACCACCGGGGAAGTCCGGGTGCTTACTTTTTAGCCCGTTTTGAGCTGTTTACCGACTTTGCGTGTGTTTGCAAACGCAAGATATGATGTCTGGCATGTGCCCACACGACATCTTGGTTTTAGTATGCCTGGCGAGCCACTACACACGAGATCTTGTTTTTTGTATGGTGTTCTTTAATTTGATTATTATGAAGATGAAAGAGAACCGTTAGAACGGGTATGAAGGGTGTTCTAGGGGTGCTTTTCGGTGCTCTTTCACGTGGACATATCGCAGCATGCGACATGTCAGCGGAACACTGTCTAAATTAATAAATACTGTTTTGGCCGATTTCTAAAAGCGTCTATAAAAGGGCATAAGTGCAATGACTCGTCTTTGTAACCCTGCGGCCTAGGCGTAGTTTTTCACGGGGAATCCGAATATCAAAGGTAGATTTATGTACAACATGTACTTTTTTTGCAACATGTACTTTTTATCTACGGGACATAGACATATGTAAAAACACACGGCGGAGCCGTTCCCGCAATCAGAATTTGTCTAACTCTTCTAGATCAAAAGTTATACAGCGATATGTGGAAAGTGTGAACTTGTGTTGGGACAGGCTCTCTTTTTTTTAGGTGGGTTTTTTTCCGCTTTTTATGTGGCGCCCGCGCAATATGGGCCTGCAGATCTAACCAAAAATCTGGTGCATGTGTTTCGCACGCACGCTCCCAAGTTTTACAAGCATATTCTCCCAGTAGTTGCTTCGCCATGTAATTTTTTTAGTGACGCCCAAAAACGCCCATTTTCGCGGAAAATGGAACACCTTGGACGCGCCAAAATCACCACTTTGGCCATGTTTGGCCCTGCACATCCAGGAAGCAAATGAGACTGCTCCGTATAAAAACTGCCCTAGGGGTGCTTTTTTATGCGCGCATTCCCGTGGTCAAGTCAGATTTTGGCTAAATTCAAATGCCTTGTCTATAAACACTTTTTTCGACCTAAATTTTCACCTGTTTTGTCCCGAAATGATAGCACCCATTCTTTATTTGCCTATATATCGCGAAGGAGGCAACTTTTTTCCTGTTAAGTATAGATAAAAAATTTAATTCGGCGTTTTAGCGCACGAGGAACAAAAGTCTCCATACAAGCTACCCTCGGTTTCTAATGACTTTTTGAGTTAGGGAAGCGTGGATCTTCTTTTTTTCTTGTTTCCAGGACTTCACATGAACTTCCAACTCAACTCGAATTGTCATCCCGGGCCCACCACGCATCGAAACGACACTTTTCTCGGAACTGGCGAATAAAAAATAGGTCACCAGATGCGCAAGAGTCTGGGATGACAGAATATCAAAACAATAACAGAATCGTTAGTACTTTTTTTGTCACCAGCGCCCTTTTTCTGTTTTCGCGTACATAATCGAGCATAACTTTATCAATTTATACCATATCGACCGATATCGATTGTCACGATAGTGTACTTTTTTTAGGCGCACATGATGGTAAAAAGAACGGCCACCTATTCCCAGCCGTTCTTAAGTTATGCTCTTTTAAAGATTTTACTTTAGAGATGACACACCCTCTCATTTCACTCCATTACATGCTCTTTTTGCTGAATTACGTGGCACAGACGCAGAAAATCATGGTTCGCAAGTCGAACATTTTTGAAGAGCGCATCGAAACGGACATTTTCTTAAAATAACATGGTATACAAAAAGTGCGTTCTTGAGCCTGTAGCAAACGATTTGCATCCATGACATCCCAAAAACTTAAAATAACATATCTCGACTCCTAGAATGAAATCGACGTGAATCCTTAGGGCAGTTAGTGTGTTTTAGTATCATACTTAACACCACAAAGTTTTACGGGGCACTCTACAATACTCTTCCCAAGACGCAAGAAAATGTTCATTTTGGGGGGTCCTCTAACGCGAACTTAATGATAAAATACCGCACTTAGTCCATAAAATACGAACTTAGGCACTATTCGCACTTAGTAAAATAACTTCTCGCACTTAGAACGGGTAATTTATGTAAATTACTTTATGGGTGACTGCTGAGTTCTAACAAAACTGAAAGATACTGACTAGCTGCTGGCGCGGCGGTTACTTTTCCAGCTATAAATAGATGTTAAACGAGTAGTCTGTAACTGTCAGCAGTAATCAATTCCCGTCAATCTGCTGTAGATTAACGGGAATTTTTGTTAAGACGACGTAAACAAAAGCGAGTATCTTTCTTGTGACGGTTTCCTAGTATATGTGAGGTGACAAGTCGGTTACTGAGTGTAATTTTGGAAATGGCGTGTGGGTTTCTAAGATTATAGTTGGTTTTTGAGGCGTTACTTTGCTGTTTAGGGTGATTTCTCGGTCTTATTTTAGGATAAGATTGAGTGAACTCTGGCGATTTATGGTTTTTTAGATGTGTCTTTGTAGGAATAGTTCTGCTGTTTCTAAGACGTGTCTTTAAGACATTCCTTTAAAAATCGTGCGTTATTATTGCTTTGGGGAAACTTAGAGCGGTTATTTCGTGCGTGCAGAAATTGAGGTTGTACTCGTATGCTCTGCATAAGAATATAGCTTTATTTGACGCATTTTATGCGTTGCTCTGGGTATTTTGCGCTGAAGCGATGTGGAATTGCTGACGAGTGTGTGCTTTCGGGATAGTGACCTGACTGTGTGTGCTTGGATGCGAGGAAGCGTTTGCTGACGTTGCGAGGTGCTACATCAACGCTCTGTCGGTGCCGGTGCGAAGGTGTGCTGCGGTTGGTTGTATAGTGTTTCGTGCAGTTTTCGGATTGTGTGTCATTATGCGATACCTTCTGTGGTGCGTTTTGCGCTGGATTTTTCCGGTGGAAAGTTTCAATTTCGGGTAGAACCGTTTTTGATCTGGGGCTAGTTATGCGGCGTGCGGAGGGGACTACAACCCAAAGTATGCTGCGTCGTGCTCTATTATTCGCTTCTTGATCTACCTATTTTTAGGTGGAACTGTTGAAGTGAGGATCATATTTTTGTCTTTCTGTGCAAAAAGATTCTCGGCTATTAATGGCGGCTTTGAGAAAAGCTGCGAGTGGCCTAGCGACTGTTTCGGCGGTTGCGGGGCTGTTTGCGGCTGGCCTCTGTGTTGTTGTTTTGTGCTGGGGGCGACTTGTCGTCTTCTTTAGTATGGAGGATATAA